ATTAAAGAAAAATATGGGTGTAAGCCGTTTACAGTAATTCAATACAAATTAAATTGCAATTAAAACTAATTTTAAAACTTCCATAACGTGTTCAAAAATTATAAGTGATCACATGTATATTAACTCAAAAGCAAACACAACGTCAAAAATTTCGGATTTTATAAAACCTTAAAATAATTCTGACTACGATTATTATTGAAAAGGGACTGAGATAATAATTACAATTCAAATATGTAAAAAACAAACAACACATTAAGGCTTAAGAAAATACTCACCTTATATGAAAACTTTTAGGAATCTAAGTTAGTAAATGTTAACATAAAGTCCGGGAAACAAAAAACTAAATACAAACATTACTTACCTTGTTGTTGATAGGCTCTACCGCCATGGCTACTGTGAATGCTAGGTGGTCCCTGGCCATACATGCCATCGTAAGCTTGATCGGGACTCAAAATGTCCTAATCACGACAAAATGCAAAAAACAAAATAAAACCAAACTTAAAAACAAAATAAATAAAATACTTTCCTACTACTAGTAGCTCAGCTAGCTGATTTTACTCAAACGTAAAGGAAAAACAAATTAATTGCTTAGAAAAGCAATCTAATAATGACAAAATAAAAATCATTCCAATACAGTACACTTTTGTAAATTAATACATACATATATCGGTTCATATCAATAAATAATAAACAAATATTAATGGTTGATCATACCTGCAAATCTGGTCCCATGCCCAGGTCTGCATTCCACAGGTTCTCTTCTCTAAATAAGGAATTGGTTAACTCCATTGAGAGACGTTTCTTATAGTCTTGAGGTTTATCTTCACTCATACGGAATAATACAGCTGCAGCATACGTTGCTACACCTAAAGAATTACAAATTATAATTCTCCTAGGTATGCATTTGTTACAGATAGATTGTAAAATTAGTTTGCTCATTTAAAAATGACCAATTTTACGATTTTGCTGATATAAATTGTATCTCTGATAATCATTATGAGAATTTAATATACCTTCATTCCTGGAATGCAGCAGATCGGTAAGGGGCGCCGTGGCCCCCTCTTGTTCTATCATTTCAGCGCCCTCTTTATCGGCTGCTAATTCACATAATACACCAGCTGCAACCCGTTGTATATTCTCTATATCATTGAAAAGTAACTGAACGAATATTGGTATAACCATCTGCTGTCTGATGATGGCGCGATTGTGCGATTCTTTTGCTAAAATGTGCAAAGCACCTACAGTACCCTCCACAATTTCCTCCATTCGTACCCCATCCGCGTAAGCTCCTGGTTGTTGACTACCTGCGCTAGCAACACTTGCTCTCTAATATAAAAAAAATAACTATTATACAACTAACCAAAACTTATGTTTTTTAGCAATTAAAGCAAACTTGCTTGTCATGTGTTCTTACCCGCTGTGTATCTTGATAAGCTCTCATGAGCAACTGCACAAGGTGATGTATAGCACCATGTTCACGTAACGGTGCGTGATTGGCGGGACAGAGAGCCAAGTTTCTAATTAATCCAATAACGGCTTTTACAAGAGGCCAACGTGAAGGAGGATTCAAAAGTTTTACAATTACTTGAATTCCATAATTCAATCGTACCGCATTCTGTGCCATTTCAGCCTCGACGTGTCGCGAGGTCAGGTGTCGCAAAGCACACACTGCAGGCTCTGTAATCTCCTCTCTGTCACCAGCGTTTACAATGGTGCGAACAAGAGCATCTACTCCCCCTACTTGACACACTGTAACCTATACAAGAGAAAAAGGCAAGATTATAAAAGAAGGAGTTAAAAGGATGTTGCAATTTACCTTATTACGTTGGTTATTACATGTTAAGTTAGACAATATTCCAGCAGCGCAAGTGACTACGTTTACGTCCGAAGAAGCGAGAACTGAGACTAAAGACTGAAGTAAACCTTCAAGTCCATCAACTTTCGTGGCAGCATCTGATAAGTTACGCAGAGTCCAGAGACAATTTTGAACTAAGCGTTGACTGGGGTTTCCCAGGTGCATAGCAAGTGCTTGCATTCCACCTGCTTCAACAATGGCAGGTTTGTTGCTTGAGCAAACAGACAAAACCTAAAGAAATAAATAAAACATTAAGTAAAACTTTAAAAACTAATCTGCAGGAATTAGAAAATATTCTTCTATAATTACCTTCAAAACTCTGGATGTGGTCCACAACAACTTTTCATAATCATAGGATCGCATTATCCTCACCAATTCAATTGGGCCTTGTGATGCCAGAATAATCAACTTGCTCTCTTGGTTTCCATAAGCCAAAATTTGCAAGCAATCAGCCACAATTGTAAGGAATTTAACATTATTTCTCTGTAGAAGTGCAACCATTTTCTGTAGACCACCAGCCAGTCTCACAGCCATTTTTGAACCATCTTGATGCAACAAAAGATTGTGTAAAGTTGTGATGGCATAAAATAGAACACTTTCAACTGGTGAACTAAGAAGCTTAACTAAAGCTGGTATGCCACCACTTTTAAAGATAGCCAACAGCCCTTGACGATGATGTGATAATTTATGCAAAGTACCAACTGCTCCTTTGGTGGTTTCTAAATCATTAGAGTTGGAAATAGCTCTAACCAAAGCAGCAACCATTTGGGGACTATTCATTATAGCATGTCTTGAAGCTTCTTTCTTTGACAACTGATGTACCATCATAGCTGCTTGAGAGACAACAACCTGATCTTCGTCATTCAAAAGCTTAATCAATTCTGGAATAGCTCTAGTTGCTAAGTCAGCATCATCCTGATAATTTATAAGATTAACAACTGCATGTTTAAGCATCTGACTGGGTTCTGCTAAACGCTGCACAGCTGTCTGATGCTGAGGATCAAACTGAGTCGAAGGAATTTCAATTCCTTCCTCGAGAGTTTCAGGAAACATTGCAGCTCGCACCCTCTGAGATCTTGTTTGATTCAGTTGATTGTTCATTTCTGAAAATCATGTTATTATATTATTCTGTTAATTCAATGACAATTATAAATACTTTTGATATATTCAATACTTACCATCAACCTGCTCTTGAGTAAATTGAGGAGGAAATCCTTGGTCCAGGTCAAACAGATCCATTTCTTCATCATCTTTACCACTCAAGGATGGTGCTTGCGTAGCAGCTCCAGAATGAATACCTGAATCCGCCATATACGAATTTTGTTGCCACATAAGTGTTTGCTCCTTGGCAGACCCCATTGGTAAGTCACCAGGACCACTTTGATAATTACTGTGTGACACTGTAAACAAAATTGGCTATTATACAAGCATTATCAAACACATATGTATATGACATGAATTGAAAAGTGGACATTTCCTTTAAGCAGACAATAAGAAAAAACATTACTTACTGATTCTATTTTGATTGGTTTGCATGTAGCTCATGGTGAAATGGTGAATTATCACACCTGTAAAATATATTCATGTAAATGATTCACCTAATGGGTACTTTATAGCAAGAAATCAATTAATATTTTCAACTAGTTAAATACAACAAAATGGTACAATCGTGTTTGCTTTTAATGAATTACAGATTTGCTTGGGTAAAATAATTTCTAAAAACAGAAAACAGAATGCCTATAAAGACGCTATTTTAATCTGAAGTGGCCACCATGTTGTGCATTAATCATTAAAATGACAATACATGGGAAGTATTCCTTTAAAATCTATGAAATAGTTAAAGTAATAACATCAAAGTTAACACCAAAGTTTATTTATTGTAATATTTCTTACCTTTCACCACAAAATGAGCTTTTTCTGTAGTATTTAATTTTTCTGGCAACTAAACTAAAGTAACACCGCACCCGTTTACACAAAGGCAGATTTAATATGTCTGATTATCTGTGTATGTTTCAACAAGCAAAACAGTGTATAGCAATGAGTGCCACCTAGCGTTGAAAATGTGCATTTGAAAAATTTTGTATATAATAAGTTGAAAAATTTCTTATACATAGAGATAAATACATTATACATTATATAGTTTAATAAGCTAATTTTAATTACGTATAAAAGCTTAAATATAATTCTCTAATCGTAAAATCTAATTAATTCTTCACATTAAAGAAGCTGGAGGAAGTGTTACAGCAGCATGACCCGAAAGCGGCAATGGTAGGCATGCAATACCTCGTATCCACATTCCTGTAATATTATTTTTATGTTTATTTCAAAAAATTAGTCATCAGTTCATAATTCGAATTTAATCAAAATTTATAAATATTTATAGCAAAGGAGCGATAACCGACAATATTCTTGTACAGCGAAGTATAACGAGTTGCATAACCACGAACCTGTATTCTGTGAAATCCCAGTACCTTTATTTTATACTATACAGGGTGTCGAATAATATTTCAATACAGGGTGGCTTATTTTTTTTTTAATGAGTGAATGAATAATTAAAGTAAAATTCTTTCTTATTCCGTTTTTTGTGATAAATTAATTCTCATTTTGTAATGTACAACGAACATAATATTAATTTATATTGCATTGTCCTACTGCACAAGACTTTTTCTTAATGGTACCTCGGTACCTAATTAATGTGAATAATTGCAACAAACGATTATGAATTTTAATAGCTAAATATTTTCACTTTCAAAGTATGAAAAATAAATTACATATTTAGTTTAAGGCTACATCTATATAACAATATTGTTGTACTTACCACGTTGACTGCAGTAACACTCAATGTTACTTAGGGCTCTCATATACAGGGTAGTAACACCCCCAATAACAAATATCTGCGTTCCCAAATAAGCTATAGCATGACCATGTCGAGGTATGGACATATCAGTAAGATGATGCCATTCCATCACGTTTGGATCGAGTACATCGATGGTTGGAACGCTGGTAGACTTATTGCTACCGTCAATTTTCCCAGCACCGCCTATGATAAATAGGCAATTCGACGAAGCAAATAAATGGCCGAAACATCTTGGAAAACGCAGTCTTGTAATTTCAGTCCATCTGGAAAGAATTCAAAAAATTTTTCTTGTTCGTATAAACGTATGACAATACAGTTTGTATAGGGAAGAACGAACTGCTTAAAGAAAATACGTTGATTTTATCAAGAGGACCATGGCTAGAAAAAATTTCACTCGTGGCAAAACTCGATTCTGGTGCCCCACTGCCCTACTATCACCAGAAATCAAAATACGTAAAATTAATGAAGAAAATCATCACTTTAAAAAAAATTTACAAATCACAGTTTGTAAAAAAAAATCATAAATAATACATAACGTTGGCAGGGCGGCGTCACTAAAATTAGGAATAATTTTAATCCAAATTACAAAAAATCGGTTTCGAGGTGTAAATTATCAAGAGGCAGGAACTTAAATTATTAATATTTTGGAAAAAGTCAGCTTCAATATTAGAAGTCTGTTTGGCGCCTCTCACTAGTTTTATTAAGTAAAAACGTAACATTTCTCACTGTTTATTCAAAAGTTGAATAGTGTAGTCTTTAGGCTTTCACGGCCGGCATACATTGGTGCGGTGGACCACGGCAAAACAGCCCTGAAGCAACCACCGCAACAAAAGTTTGTGTCGTCATTATCACTACATAGTATAAAACAAAGTAGCTTTCCCGCTGTCTGTCCCTATATATGCTTAAATCTTTAAAACTACGCAACGGATTTTGATGCGTTTTTTTTAATAGATAGGGTAATTCAAGAGGAAGATTTACATGTATAATACATGCATAATATAGTAGAGAAACACTGATAATTTTAGAGGTTTCTAATGTGATGTCGTAAATAAACACATTTTTTGCGCTTACATTGCAAACGCTGGTTGAACCCTACGAGATAGATCAAACTAATGTACTACAATATTGTACATCTTAAAAGGGTCTACAAAAAAGTCCGCGATGGTATATGTCTATCTCTTAGGGATAACCCACAATAACCATTCTTATCCTTTACTTTTTATGAGAAATAATGACTTATTTACGAAGCGATTGTAGGCAATACAGCATCAATTCTTATCCAATTAAGTACCTTAAATACATTGTGCATTTAATATAGATCAATATGGCCCTTTACAACATGTAATTTAAGTGAATATTTTCGAAGATGTTACAGATTTAATATATATTTAGTATCAGCATTGCACCCATGCGAAGCTGGGGCGGGTCACTAGTTGATTATAAAAGCATGTAAACACATGAATTTAAATTAAAAATTCTTTTATGAATTTTCTTCCCAAAAATAAGTTCAAAGTTACCATCCATACCACCAAGGTTTTAACAAAGTTTTACCATAAGTACAAAAAAACTTACTGATCTTGTTGAATATCGTAACATTCAACGACGTCTGAGAGAGGTTTACGTTTTGATCCAGACATTCCTCCTGCTACCCAAATATATTCCTTAAATTTTGTACATCCCACACCCATTTTTGGACTTTGCATTGGTGATAATTCTTCCCATTTACCTATTTCTGGTTTGAATCGTTCGACCAGTGCAAGAGTTCTAAAAGCATCACTGGTAGTAAGAATTAAGTCGAAAGTAATTAGCTATAATGTATATATATATATCAGTTTAGTGAGATCTAATTACCTTCCTTCTTTATCTTGGCCGCCAATTGCATAAATACCGTTGCTAGCAGCAATCAATCCAAAATTCTTACGTGGAATTATAAGGCTACCTTCATTGTACCAACATCTTGTTACTGGTTCGAAACTCCACACTGTATCCACGACAATAGATCTTCCTCTTGAATCGTCGTCTCTTGGGTCAGCACCTCCTAGAATTATCTAATATACGTAATCTAAATCAATTAAAACTACCTAAATATAGTTTTATGACTTCTAGGCCGTTTATTCTGTTTAAAATACTCATGTTGCTCTATGCTTCAAAAAATCTGTTTCTAGTCTCATATTATCTAAAGAAAAGAGCGACAGAAGCCAAAACTAACACAATAATGACAAATTGGTAAGGTTTTTTTGCGGCCAGTTGGTGAACTGGTGCTGTCCTGACTCAGGTCTAACGTTTCGTTAGCAAGAGATGCGAGCTTCTTCAAAGGCCTCTCCATCTCTGATGCTAGAAGTAACTCCAACCGAATCAGGGCAGTACCAGTTAGCTATTTTGTGTTAATTTTTTTCATTGCACTGAAGATTCCTTACCGCAAATATAAACCCTTCCTTTTAAAAATGCAGCTCCGTGATGGTGTCTAGGTTCAGGCAAATTGCCAACGTGCTCCCAGACATTTTCATCTGGTAAATACCTGTACACATCCTTGCCTGTATTTTTTCCTTCACCGTAAGTCTTGTGGGGGTCAATCCCTCCAAAAACCAATACCGCTTCTTTATCAGGAATTAACAGGGATGATACAATTGCGTTTTTTAATTGACTGCTATAAATCAAGAACAAATATATTTTTGACTATTTGATGCAATTTTTATCACAATTCTATGAAAATTTATTTTGATTTTCTTATCCACTATAAGTTGGCCCAAGTTAATTGATAAAGGTCAGAGCACCACTATTGAATGTCAAAATGTTTTATGTATTGTATTAATGTTAACTTCGATTTTATATTTTACCAATCACTAAGGGAAAGAAGTTTAAAAGCGATCCTGGTTTTCAATAAATTGTGCTATTCAATTTATGAATTTTCTTTTTAGAAGAATCCGGAAAAATGAAAGTTGTTATTTTGGTAAAAGATCCAAATCAGTGTTACCCTTATATTTCACTGTATCCGATTCAATATCCAACAATTTCAATTTATTTTGGCTTTCAGAGTTACAGAAACGTTTGAAAATAGCTCTCTACTGATTCAATTTAGGCACTGAGGGGTTTTAGACTAATAACTTTTTGTGCCGCTTCGAATTCACCAAGATGAACGATTTAAAAAGGGACTTAGAAAGTCATTCTTTTCTGTTTTTCTATTTTTAGTACGTACGCAGTTTATTAATTTATTTATAAATATAAAGTTCAATGAAAGTTCCACCACGAGAACAACTAAGACGTAGCAGAAAACATAATTCTTGTAAACAAAAGATTAAATAAAATATTTTAGAATTTGTACGGCCCTGGAGACTATTGTAAAACCTTTCTATTCTGCCAGAAACTTCTAACTTCTAAACGAAATAAGATATATAATTTGAAATTCAAAATTATATATTCTGTAATTCATGACTTGCGAGAAGTGTTCGTAATAGTGATTATATTTCATGTTTTTGATATTACTTGATTATCTAGGAGTTAATGGCAAAAAGTAAATTGATCGATGTTCCGTTTAAACTTTCTACGGCGTGCTGATGAGGTCCAAAGAGACATAAATCGCGTCCACGTTTGCACTTCATTGATGTTATGCTCAATACTTCTCTTGTTAAATATTAATGTAAAAATTCATTTAAATTTTCTTCCACTACAAACTACCTCAATTTAATGAAAGAAAAAATTGTTTTCTGTTGTCACACCCTTGCCGGTAATCGAACCCGGGACACCGCTTAGTGATCAGAACATTGGTGAGTAAAGCTAAAGGTCCCAGGTTCGACTCCCGGCAAGGGTATGAATAGCAACAAATTTTTCGCTCATTAACTTGAGGTAGTTTGTAGCGGGAGAAAATTAAAATGGATTTTCACATTAATATTTGATATTAACCCCTAATCTCTCGTTAATTTCCGTTATTAAGAAAAATATTTACCTAACATTAAATCGACTTCGAAAGTTGTTGAATTTTTCCAAAATATTTACTTTGGTTTTCTTTTGCGATGTTTGATGTTTCGTACTTAAAGAAATTTTCTTCTGCATGTTATCAATCCGTCTATAATTCAAAAGCTGAGATAAATATTTTCTCATCGTTTTTCTCGCCAAGTATCCACGGAAAGCGGCTTGTATTTTAGTGGCAGCCTCATGTCTCTCCATGTAATTGTCGGGGAAAATTTTAAATTTCATTTTTCCTCTCGGCGTACACCTACCAGTCGTCACTTTTCGAGGATGATTTGGAGGGAGCATATTTTGGTAGACAGGAGCCAGTTTGTCCTTACTCTGAAAGTTACAGTTTTCTTTTCAATAAATTCGGATAATTGCAAATGGTAATAAGTACACTGATGGTAAAAGCTTTGCATTGCAAGTGCACTTAAACAATAAACACTACAATGCGAAACTTGTACCTAAAAGAACGTAAAAATGCACTCACGCCGCAAAACTTTCGCACATCTTTACAGCCAATCAGTCGTGTTGTAACTCTTGTGCTAAAATTAAAATGTTAAAATAACTAATTTTTCAGTCATCATTATTATTAACTTACCATTGCACCAAGTCGAGTCAGGGTTCATATCACAGAAAATTATAAGAAAATAAAATTAGCCTGATAAGGAGATAAAGGCCAATTTTGATAAGTAGTGACATATAAATAAATATTTTTAATGGATTAAAAAAATTGAAAATAAATTGCAATTACTGGATTTCTTTTTTTTAAGACGGTACTGTATAATTTACATTTTTAGATCACTTTTTTAATAACATCCCACCATACTTTTATATAACATTTCTACCTGATACGTTATTATAAATTTATGACCCTCTAATTTTATGAAAATATATAAATTCACGTTCGTTCAGCTCATTCTTTTGTCCTGTTGGTGACTAACCATTTTTCTGGTGGAAAGAAATTCGTCCATGGTTGGTACCCTCGGTGGGATACGATCCGGTGATTTGCTTTGGGTTGGCTTGGCGTCTCCTATAGCAGCTTGGAACTTCTTGGTAGGTTTCGGTTTTGTCTTTTCCATCATCTGATTACGCCTGTATTGATCTAAATAGATGAGAAATTCTCTGTAGGTGAAGTAGGTTTTGTCATGTCCACTCCAATTTCTTGGGGGAGGTTCTTTTAAACCAAGAATGTGATTCCAGTGTAAAAAGTCGTCATTTTCTTGGCCGTACCAGTACTTAATAATCACAAACCTGAAAAATACTATATTCGAAATGATGCTTCCCGATAATATAATTAAATTTATTTTAAAGAAAAAGTAGGGAAAGGGTTAATATAAAGGTAGGAGACGAAAATTTAGATGAATTGGCTGATTCTAAAATACCTAAGTATCTAGGCAGCCAGGTAAATCAGGACGGAAGGAGTAGTAGGGATATAAAGCAAAGAATAGCACCGGGTCGAATAGCCTTCAATAAAAAGAAGTTACTCTTACGCTTGCGAACGGTTAATTTAGAAATTCGAACAAGATTGTTAAAGGTGTATTTTTGGAACCCGGCGCTGTAAGGGTGCGTAACATGGACGGTGGGCGCGGCGGAAAAGAAAAGGTTGGAAGCGTTCGAAATGTGGTGTTACAGGCGAATGATGAGAATACCGTGGATAAAGAAGGTTAGAAATTAAGAGGTATTAGAAAGAATAGGAGAACAGAGGACTCTATGGAAATCAATAAGAAATAAGTGAGATAGGTTGATAGGGCACCTTCTCACGCATGAAGGTCTAGTCAGAGACATACGAGGGTGGATTGATAAGTTTCCGGCCTGACTAAGAAAAACAAGGTTTTTAAAAATTTTTTTTTTATTTCTCAACATAATCTCCTCCAAGGCTGATACATTTCTCATAGCGGTGTTCCAGTCTATTAATGCCATCTCTATAGACTGATTCGTCAAGCTCCTCAAAATAACCATTTACAGCTTCGATTACTTCTTCATTGTCCGCAAATCTCTTACCGCCAAGCCATTTTTTGAGATTAGGGAACAGAAAATAGTCACTCGGGGCTAGGTCTGGAGAGTAAGGAGGGTGCGGCATCAATTCAAACTTTAGATCGTTGATTTTAGCCGTCGCAACGATTGACGTGTGCGCTGGTGCGTTATCGTGATGAAACAAGATTTTTTTCTTCGCCAGATGAGGTCGTTTAATTTTCACCTCGTGGCTCAAACGTTGCAATAAGTCTGCGTAGTATTGACCAGTGATAGTATTACCCTTTGCAAGGTAATCAATGTATATAATACCTCTTGCATCCCAAAAAACAGTAGCCATAACCTTGTTCGCCGAAAAAATTGTTTTTGCCTTCTTTGGAGTTGGTTCCCCTGGTCCAATCCACTGTTTAGACTGTTCTTTGGTTTCAGGAGTGTAGTGGTGGACCCACGTTTCGTCAACGGTTACGAATCGACGCAAAAATTCGCTTGGATTACGCTTATACAATGACAAATTTGCGGTAGAAATGTTTTTTCGAATCAATTTTTGGTCGACTGTTAGCAAACGCGGCACCCATCTTGCACAGAGCTTTTCCATATGCAAATGTTGGTGCAAAATATGTTGCACACGTTCATATGACATCTTACAGGTCTCAGCTATCTCACGCACTTTCAATCTGCGGTCTCCCAGCACTATTTGATGAATTTTTTCGATCATATCTGGAGTTGTGACCTCAACGGGGCGTCCTGAGCGAGGCCCATCAGAGGTGCTCACACGACCCTTTTTAAACTCGGAAACCCACTGCTTAACGGTTGAATATGACGGGGAGGATGTCCCCAGTGTTGAGTCCATCTCTTTTTTAATTTCCTTCGGCGTTAACCCCTTCAAATAAAAGTATTTGATGACAGCACGATTTTCCTGCTTTTCCATTTTTACGAAAACCACAGAGGCGTCTTGTTCAGCGTGCTGTCAAACCTACACTAGCAAGGAGATCGGGCTGAAACTATAGCTACAAGCTATCCAAGGATGGTACTATAGAATGTCACCTCAAGGTAGGCCTAGTGGCGTCATCTCTTGGTTAGGCCGGAAACTTATCAATCCACCCTCGTATAAGAGGCAAAAACAGGAGTTAAGAGGAATAGAGGTAGAACTAGATTAGATTACTGTTTGCAAATAATTTAGGATGTGGGTTTTTCTAATTTTAGGGAAATGCGAAGATAAGCTCAGAATAGGAAAGAGTAGAGGTGCGTATCCAACCAGTCTTAGGACTAACGACCTTATGATGTTGATGATATTAATGCCTGAGCAAGTAAATTGTCTTACGCGAGTCCATCATCAATCATTTTACATATTCTTGGTAATTGAGCAAGGGTAATAAATTCTGGATTTTCCGGATTCCTTTTGATATCAATTAACTGCCAAGGGGCTATGTTTCCGAACCTTACACATTCCATTATTTCCAGAATGTAATCACTTCTATTTTCCCAGTCATGTCTCAGCCACCTTACTGCTGACATAAACACCTCCATCTCACTTGAAAATCCAATTAATATTAGTTTAAATTTTCAGACACATAGTCGAGGGTAGTTTTCAAATATTATAGCAATTCTCAAAATTTTATTTTTACAAGAACGTGTTGAGTGTTTTAAAAATAGAAGAAAAAAATTTTTTTTTCTAAAAACTGTAGTCATTCACTAGGTGCTTGTATAAATAATCTTTTTGCATAAAACCATACATAATATTTTAATTCTCGTTTGATTGTTAAAAAGTTAGTAAATGTTTGGAAAAAGCTATTTTGTAAACAATTTAGGACTGTAAAAAAGCTGAAGATTTTTTCATTAGATCTTGGAAACAACCTTTTAAGTAGCGAAAGTTCTTTTTTTCTTACCAATTGACGCAAATATAATTAGAGTTTAAAAAGGCTTTGATGTCTTCTTTCTCGAGATCAAGCCAATCTTGAGAACTAACTAGCATTAAAAAGAATTTTTGTATTCTTGGAAGCATCAGTTCCATCACGTCGTGCAAATTTTTATCGTTGGCATCAGCATAAAGCAAAAATGCGGTATCTTCAGTGAAAACTTCTATATTATCAATCAGAGCCCAACATTGTTCCATTAAATCTATTTATACGAAGTTAGCGCAGGATTAGAAATTTATGGTTACCTTTAATACTGATACTGACTAATGCAATTACCTTTTATTTTAAGATATTTTGCTGCATTAAAGATCTCTAAAACATTTTCTCGATTTAGTTCTTTGTAAGATGGTTCCCCGGATAACATCCACTCATAAATAAAGGCAAACGCACCAGGACTCACTTTGTCCTGAAATGCAATTGAAACTTATGAAGGTAGACAGTACATCTAAACAAAACTTGCTGACAAACCGATGGCAATTCTACTTTTTTTACTGCAATATACGAATCAAAAACTTGAGAGTAACATTGCAACACGATCAGATGACAATTGAATTCTTCGTTGTCGATATACACTATACAATCAGCATTTCTAAAAAGTAATTGTCTAAATTTAATGTTGTGTAAAGTGTATGGTATGTAATTATTTGCAAAATTGTAAAATAGTTAATGACCAAAGTTTAAAATTAACTACAAATCAAAATGATCTTTCGTTGTCAGCTTTTGAACTGTTATCAACAAAGTAAGAAAACGGAAAACGGGATTCCTTCCAGTTTTTTTAAAGATATTTGTTCCGAGTAGGGTCGAATTGGTACCCAAACGTAGCGGGTAAGTAAACCGATGGGCGAGTTGGTTTCCTTGAGGAACGAATTGTCACGCTTCTTCTTAATAGAAGTTGCCAATGAGATCGCATTATATTTTTGGATTTATGTTAGTAAATAATATAAACATTAAACATGATTACATGTTTCATTTATTGCATTGCGATGTTGACAGTAGAACTGAACGTGAACGAAATAATATTGATGTTGGACGATTACAAATTCTGTTTCCAGAAACAGTTGAAGAATGGTGTACAAAGGTGGATTTGAGTTACAAGAAATTTTAACTACAGGTTCTTTAGGGAAACAGAATGCCCAGAGAATACTATTACACAATTACAAATTAATCATAGCCATGATAAAATTTCCGAAGTGTTCCTAAGTCTACAAAAGTGAGCAGCAAGCCTAAAAGAAGTTAACTAATATGGATCTAAGAAAAGAAGATGTACGAACTGTCAGCCACCAAGATATTGGCAGAATAATACGAAAAAATGCATGATGCCAACTTAATAACACAACACAAAATTCCGCGGACCTTCTTGGTCTTGAAAAACACCTTCATGTTTATTTAATTTATATGCTCGATAATTTATTTATGTTTATGTATTTTACAACAATAGCACGCTGATCTGAAAATCAATTGCAATTAACGCGACCTCAATTGCTTGGACCAGCTGAGTACCAATTCGCTCCTTATGCTTTCGTGACCTTTTCTTATTAAGTAACTATCGTCTGACAATTCGATTCGACCCTTTGTTCCAGTTCGTTTTATAATGTTGTAAATACTATCCTAACTTACGTATAATTAGTGATACGCTGATAGAGTTCCAAATACAAATTAGTTTTATCAGGTAGTTTGACTTCTGCCCAATCAATTGGTTCTCCTGACGAGTATCCCAGTCTAACTAAATTCAATTCCGGATCTAGTATTTCGTTAGTGTCTTTCCCTTCGTATTCCGGTGATTCTTTTTCTTTCCTTACTGGCGTGGTGCTTGCTATAAATGATCCCAAACTGCCACCGAAGGGACCGACAGAATCCATGACATTTTTGTGTGTGACCTTGTTATGAGACGGTTCTACGTCGTGGAGTGTGGAAGTTGGGCCACTTGGAGTTTCCGGGTGAATATTGACTTTTGTATGCTGGGGATCTGCCACCAACACACTTAATTTTTGACTTTCAAATACAACCTACAACGAAGTAAGTGTCATTCACACAAAGGGTGCTTTATTTCACCATAACGTTTGTCCTAACGAAAGGATCAACGCTTTGTTTCAGTATATGTTCTAAAGTATTGGAATTTGGTCACTTTAATGGAGATTATGCACAAAATGATTTGATAAATACTCAAAGGCAAGATAAAGTGTCTTTGATGGCTCGTGTGCTTGCCAAACAAAATAAGAAAATCAAACAACGTTAAATGAATTTTTTTCCCAAAGGAACAAAACTATAGGAAGAACGTTCGTCGTCATAAACGTAACTTCTTGACTTCTTTTGATTTTCATTCTTTTTTTTGGAACAAAACCTGAAAGAAGCAGTTGCTTTGTTTAGCTCTGGAACTTATTGGGACTAGGGTTGCCATCCGTACTTTATTATAAAGTATTGTATTCTATTTCGACTGTGCGTACGTTATACTTTACAAAACACATAAAGTACGCAAAAATACTTTATTTAAGACCTTAAGTAAACATCGTAATTTTGTAAGCGATTATTCGAAATTCAGAGTATTTTTACATCAATAATATTGCACAGAAAAATGGCAAGGCATATTTACGGAACAACCTGATTTCCCAAATCTTTTCAAGGTAGTGTCACTTTTGTTGTCCGTTCCGGCCACTTCAGCATTTACAGAAAGAGTATTCTCTGTTATGAACGCAAAGTGACGGGACGACAGGAATAAAGCTTCAAAAACTAATAAAAAATGAACTTTGAGTTTACTTAAATCTTTGTTTGCCATGCTTGGAGGCTATTAATGTATTTAAGAGCAATTTGTTACTGGCCGCTAGGTGTAACAAAAAATATTTTTTAAAAAAAAAAATAAAATATTTTATTTTCATGCTGAGTACTTTTTTTTTAACCTTTTAGTCGAGAAATACTTTATGTAAAGCCTGCAAAGGTGGCAACTCTAATTGGAACTCACCCTACGAACTAAGCAGGGTATTACTATTATTAATTTTTTGATACCTGTTGGGAGTTGACTTTGAAGTTACCACTCGGCGTAACCTTAAACGGGAAAGCCCCGGCCTCAACGGCATTCATCTCATTGGACTTCTTCCTCGCACTGTCAATGAAACACTGTGTGAAAAGAACCATTGTCAAAAAGTTTAGCGTGCTACGTTTGGCTATACCTTCTGTTAGTCATTTCGAACTTTTTCGGACAAGTTTTGGCCTCTTTGGATTTATTTCCGTACTTTTTGCTCCTAAAGGGCACTGCGTCGCCAGATCCCTCTCTACAATAATCCGCCTGCCTGTTAGAATAGAGTAATACCAATTTCTCCTTGTCGAGGTTTTTTTTACACTTATTGGACAATCTTCCTCTACTTCCTAGCAAAATTGAACTATGTATCATCTAGATCTAGATAAATTGAAAAATTATCTTTTTTTCAAAGAACTACGTTACAAAAGTCTGTTTTATTGAAAGGTTGCCATGTTTGTTTTGTAGATACTAAAGCTTGTACTTAGATTAAAATTCCTTTTGGACAATTTTCGATGGCTGTTCTCAGGATCTTCTGATGTCGTCTCTCCTTCAGGATCAGAAGTGTGTTGACAGGAGTTCTTACGGCGATCCTAAATAAAATATTTACGATCTTAAGCGTATCCATTTATAGAATAGAAGTGTATAAGTAACTTACGCGATAAGGTTTATGTCTGAAATTATTAATAAGATTTCCTACAGAAATACCTTTTCGAATTCTTTTATTTCTTTGTTTTCTTGCAGTTGTAGAATAAAACGGCCTACAAAATTATTTACATAAAACAATCTGAAAAATCTTAGTCCTGCAAGTTCTTAAAAAAAGGACTGTAATATATTGCATTATTAAGTTAAAAAAAAATCTGAAAAAATGTTAGTATAGAAACAAATATTTGTAACGATTCCTATTAACAAAATCCAAGGTTTTTGAAAAAATTTGACTGTTTTAAACTTGCAATCATATGGTCCTTATACGTATATACGTACGGTAAATTCAAGTAATCTAGATGGTTTAGATGTAGCCTGTCACTATCAGAACTGCTACCCAAATTAACCTGAAACGTCAACACATAAAGTAGTTTCTCTAACCCTTAACATATACAACTTTCGTACCCCTTTAACTTCGTTAATCCCTTTTTGCATACTATGAAAGCTGGACTGTAAATTTTTCAATTTCGGTTCGCAATAGACGTAATATAAAAAATTCTACTGAGGGTCTATATGAAAGAATGTGAAAACAACATATAATCGTTGCTATAACGATTAAAAATCGTCTTTTAATATTTAAGCTACAAACAGGCCATCAACAATATTCATTTGCAACTAATTATAAGTTATTAATAAATAATTCCTAAGATAATAAAAATTTTGTACCCGGTGCATTCACCAAATTTTTCCATCATGATATTGTTCAATGTTATATATGATAAAATAAAGCAAACAAACAACAACAAGCAGTAAATAAAAAAATATTACATTAAATAAAAGCTATTTATAGAATAAATTATGCCAAGTACACATTTGAATAAGTCGATCCATCATTTTCGTCCTACGCTTAGAAAGACAAAATTGATTTTCCAAGGAGTTGCTCACATAAACGAAACAGTTCCCATTGAATCTGAAGAGTAGATACTATGGCATCGAATATGTAAATTTAATTAGTTAAGTTGGTCATAAAAAACACACGTAAAGCAATCGTCTAAACAAGAACAGTAGCAGAGGCCGCCATTTAGGTAAAGGGTAAAAAGACCAAGAGGCGTAGCAGGATTCCATGCATATTTATTTTCAGGACACCATAGCTATCTACAAACATGCGGGATATGCTTTAAGGATATTTGGGAGGAGGTACAATCGGAGACAAGAGTACATAAAATTAGAAATTCGTGATTAATTAGGTTTTGCAGCATATCATGAGGTAAATAAATACTATCTACACTAAAAAAAAAGTATACGGTTTGACAGAAAATTTGGAATTTGACCAAAACTGAAAAAAATAAGAAATAATGAATAATAAAGAAAATTTTCAACTGACTTTTGGCAGTGAATATGCCTTGATTTCAACTTCGAAACAAAAAATATTTAGTTTGAATCTTTATTAATAATGAGCGTAAAACTTTTTAATATGTTTAAATAATAATTAAAACTTTAAAATTGCATTTATTTCAGACAATTATAAATATTATCATTGTATTATCAAGTAAAAACGAGATTTTCAACTAATTTTTCATTTTTTCCTCGATAACCATTTAGTGAATTTGAATAACCTTACGCTAAAGTGATTCTCCAGAGTTCAAGTTACTTATTATAAAAGTTTGAAATTTCTGGTAGCTTTTTTTCTGTTAATAAAAATAAATTTAATCTGTTCGGTTAACGAATCTCCATAAAATGACGTGTAAAATTACAATTTCTTAAAATTTCAATAACTTTTTAATGGTTTAGTGAATCGATTTGTAATTTTTCACAGGAGTTTTCGAATTGAAAGAGGAACGTTCTTCCAAATTTTTATTTCTCTCGTAGCATTTTGAAATACCTCCCAAACATCCTTAATGTTCGTGGCCTAAAAATAATTCGAATACGTGGATATATTTTTTTAGGGATGAACGAGCTACAATTAATAATCCCGACATCTGCCCTTCTTTTTTCTTTTTATTACTAAAAGGGATGCGAGGGGAAGAGAGTGAGAGAGGGAACGAGAGATAGAGCGAATCGGAAAAAGGAAGAAAAACCGATTTAACCAAACTTGCCTTGCTTGCCGAGATGTGTAGGTCGAGGTCAGGGTTGGTCCAATCGATGAAGCAATGCACAGCGTTTGGGCGTTAAAGCTTTATATCTTTGTACAGGTGCGGACCAGCTAACACCCTCAATTTCCAAAATTAGAAACTGCTTATGCCGCGGTACGAATTGAGATTAATAGTTATCTCTTATTGGTAACCACCTTTTACTCGCTTATCATATTTAGTAATTAAGATCCAGTATCATAGGTAATATGTATTTCTGCTTATTAAGCATGCTAATTTATTTATTGTTAGTTAGAAGTCAGGTAAATTGAAAACGTTATAAATGGACACACCAGAGCCATAGCCAGAACTACTACAACAGGGTAGGATGAGCCTGGCCTGGAAATCATTAGCCTGACCTAATTAGGTACATGGTCCAACTACGACCCTGAAAATTGTATTTCGTAATAATCTCTTAAAATTTGATTTCTTTTGTTTTGATTTTTGAAAACTTGAAAAGGAATTGGGATTTTTCTTGTTACTTTTGTAAACTTTTAATAAGATTTGAAAATTTTGAGGCATCTTCCAAAATAATTGCAGTATCTTTCCATTTATATTTACCATATTAACGCCAAGATCGTCGAGGGGAAATTCGGTCCCGGGACTGCAAAGTAACGGGCCCATATAAATACTTACGTATTCAAATGTTCAATGGAGCCAAATTTAAAAAACATTTCAAAGTACCTTTTGATTGATAAAAAATTAGAAAACTTTCCAAATCTCCCAGTTTTTGGGCATTCTCAAAAAATAGGCCTGAAGAGATTCCTCCCGCTTCATTTCTGGCCCCTCCTCGGAATTCTTCTTTTTAATTTGTTAATCAAAAACAATTATTTAGGTAGCCACTGTAAATTTTGTCAATGGACAATGGCTATGGTTAAACACGCATTAAGGAAATAGACAAGCTTTAACTTGACGCTTGATTTTCTTCAAGTATGTCTTTGGCGAATTTGTGACCAATTTACATTAATATTTAGGTATAGTAGGTACTCGTTAGTGGGAAACGAGGAAAACAACTGTTGTTCACATTATCGATGTTTTCACATGTTCGACACCTAATAAATATCCATAATCTTGCCAATGAAATCAGACATTTTTGTTTGTTTCTGAGGATTTATTGACAACGAATTATGTTAATATTCTAATGAAACATTATTTCTTTTCCTTATAATAAAATTCGGGATTTACAGGAATTGCGCATCAGCAACAGTATCGATTTTTAAGGAAAATTGACATTAGTTTCTATAAGCGAAGGTTTAATTTGTTCACGGTATATGATGACCTAAGAAGAATTATTTATTTATAAAAAGTTAAGACGCAATTTCTTTTAGTAGCCAGTAATTTTTCAGGCCTTTTCATTTCATGATTACCTTCGTTTGGTTTGAATCGTTCCCTTATTCTTTCCTAAATTAGAAAATTTACTTTAATTAAGACTTTCTTTCGAAGTTAATTAATGACAAAGAGGTTTCTTTTGAATTGTTTTGTTAATGAAAGTAAAATTTCGTTGCCTATAACACTTTCTTGCGCTGTTATTTTTTCCATCCCTACGTTTTTATCAATTTTTAGGGTTAGCACCTTCAAATGAAAAATCGAACCCTCATACGACCACTTTGTTGCTTTGTTGACCATTTACCGACTCACTGACTAATTGTCAGATCTGTATACGTATGTAGTTCTTACTAGAGTCACTCCTTTCAATACAAAAGGTAGATATCCATGTTTTCTTGAAGAGCATCGATCGGATCTTATTTGATATGGTACCGATTGATACTTTTTATTTTTGTTTCTTCTTTTTTTGTCATCGTACTAGAAAGATTACCGACTTTTTTCATCTTTATTTCATCTAAGAATATTTCATTGCATTAGTTTGAATTTGTTGTGTAATTGAATTGAATTAATGAATATGCATCCAATATTAAAACCCCATGCTTTTATTTGGTTATTGATTTTCCCCTTCTGCAATTTACTGGTGCTATTAAATAGCAACATCCGACATGAAACAAGCGAAGTTTTTCGCATGATGCTTGCTTTCCTTGCATTGCATTTCTGCACTGGTTTGAACGAAATGAACTTTCGACATTTGACATTTCGCAGCGGAATCATAATATTCCGGGCAAGCTTCCAATCGAGCCGGGACTTTCAGCTCTGGCCGATCTATTTTCTAAACTTTTAGGATACCTACTTGTTTACCTGCCTACATATCTACTTAATCTAGCCAGTAGGGTTAAAAAAATATATACTTGTGCACTTACCTGTTTTGTTGTTATCCAAGTTCGAAGTTACAAACAGCGCAGGCTTTAGTGCTTTATACTTAGGCCTTGTACTGCTTAAATTATTTTAGTTCCTTCAAATATATTTACTTATATTTTTAATCAATACAGATAAATTAGTGATAGCTGGTGCATAGGGTCAAAGGGTATGCACCCATTAGCAGGTTTTATTAGTCTATATAAATTAAATGAGAACTAGGTCCGCAGGTGTATGATAAAGTTTGATCAAATATAATTAATTTTATTCCTTCGTCCAATCAAAATTATTAGTCGTCATACACCTGGACCACAACCTTGAACTACTACAACTATGTGTGTTGGGGGATACAATGTGACGCCCTTGCGCGATAGAGAAAGTTTCTACTTCTGCCACATCGTAAAGTAACAGTAACCTGATGTCCTGCAGTTCTCTTTCGGTCAACGAAGTTGTTGGAACAACATTTAGAAAAAACAACCTATTGAAACAAATTTATTTAATATAACACCTTTCGACACGAATGTACCCTTGCCAATTTTTTTGATGCCTCTGTTAAAATGCCTTCTTGAAGTTTTCAACTGCAGTAACGTCGAGACAACTCATCGAAGTCGTTTTTGGTGCTATAGTACGTCTTACAATAATTTGTTAGAATTGCGCTCATTTTCTTGAAATTTCGCCAAATAAAAAAGTTACACGTCATTATTGTATGTCACCAAATGTGTTTGTATTTAACGTCCAGGTAATTCATGTTTCAAACGGTCTAGAACAGAAATAGAATTAGAATCCGTACGTCACAAAATTGACGAAAGAATTTCACATGAACATTCACAGCAAAGATATTTGTTTGATTTATAAATAGAAAAATACTTAACGTGAATAAGTATTTTTCAACAGGGAATTTTCAATTCTAAAAGGCACAACTAACTGAAATCGATTCGATGTCGGTAATCAACCGTTTTATTATTGAAGCGTCAATCAAACTGTAGTTTTCTTTTATTGGCGATATGGGCTCATTACAATGGAAAATCATGATACACATTTTTAGTTCATATTAGGACAAGCTTGTAACCTACTTTAGTTCTAAAACGAAGTTCTTCTATCGATTTTATTGCAGGTCAGAAGGAACAAGTCGAGTATCATATTTTACCAAACTATGGTCACGGATGGCCTAATAAAAGTTGAAAATAATATAATTTAAACTTCTGTGCCAAGTAGATAACAAGGACACGTATTACAAAACGTCAGTTTGTTTTATTTAAAAGGCTGCAGAGGCTTTCTCGTTGCTTTTATTGACTTGTCGAGATGCGTTTTATTTTTTTTTTTATGTTTTGACGATCACAACGACTAAAAATAAACTTACATTTGGCTTCTTGCGTGGAATAGTGAAGGAATATTTTTCAAAATTACTTTTTTCGAAAAGAAAGCAAAGCAAATTATATTATCATTAATTAGTTATAAAAATAATAAGAATTATTATATTGAATCCATGCATTAGGTATATATTTTTGAAGATGAATGTCGCGATTGTAATTGAGCACGGATTATATCATTTCTTTCCTTATGAACACACAGCTCATACAGCCCTAAATCATTAAACTGCTGTCACCACTTTGGTATACGTTCGCGCAACATATGAGCGCACTGGACCATCACTTTAATATTTATATATATTATTGTTTACGATATGCTACATCACATATGTAAAAGACAGTGTTGGAAGACTGCGCTGATGTATAGAAAAAATGTAAAAACTACTTGAAAAGATTCCTTAAAATACTCAATTTTAAACTATAAATAAAAACGAAGATAATTACGAAAGGTAAGAAATATTATCCAAAACGCACGGAGTATATAATCTAGTATTGAAAAACTGTATAAATTGGGTTCTGTGCTATTATTGAATTTTTCGTGAATTACAGGGGAAATTACTTAGGTTATTGCCACCCATCCTCTCCTAAACTACCGACAGAAATTTGTAGATATTAGTCTTCCACATTACCTAGTCGGGTCAAATATATATTCTACAATAGATATATATGCGCATTTAGTTGCCTTGTTTAGACTTTGCCTTCCATCAATCACCAATTAAAGCTGACTGTGTTCACATCATCTAGCAATTTATTGTGTATGCAGATCACATTGTGTGCCAATATAATCAAATGCTATTTCTGAACGAAAGCTTGCGAACGGGGATGCTATCCTTGATACGGATAAATGAATTTCTTATTTGGTGGCATCTTTGTCAGGTCGGTAATTTTATTTCGCTAGATTATATTAGGAAAGAAGAAAGGACGCAAATAAATACAGTAACGATATACTTTGTCTTTCCTTTTGGATTAACTCGCGTGTGGATCATGATTGTTTCCGAATAATTTAATCGGTGATTAAAAATGGGTTGATAAAAGACAGTATAAATTGCCGAATTGTATATATGTATATATGCATATTGTATTAGTTCTGGGAGATCCCTAGCTTTTAATTCCATTTAATTAAATGATAATAGTAATAGAAAGACGTTTCTCGCAGTATGGGCCAGAGCGAATGCTAATGTAAAAAATGGTTATCCAGACTTTTTAATATCATAATTCTTTGGATGTCCCCCAAACGTGGTATACGTGACTATAGAATGAATAAAGCCAGAATGAAAGTGAAAATGCAAAACAAATAATCAGGTCGATCTGCAAATTAAAAAGAAAAAAGAAGACCTACTTTATTTCAAAATTAAAAATATTTTTGGAGATCTTGTATAATTGACTTTTATTTGTTTTACATTTGCAACAGTATTAAATAAATAGGGGCGTTTGTTTTATTGTGGTTACAGATTAGATTTAACAGCAATATTGTAGATATTGCCGAAAAAATGAGTAAAGAACCAGTTACGATCTCTTGCCTCACAATGAGTGAAATTGGGTCAGATGTTTAAAATATAGAATTTAAGGATTTAGGTCATGATGAAGAAAACCCTCCGTGAAAATATGTTTGATTTTAAACGGCTAAAATGGACAGGCTAGTGTTTAGAAATTAAGGTTATTGTTTCAAAAAAAAAAAAAGGCAGGACTTGACATTGTAATTGTTGCAAGTAAGCTGATGTCAGTGATATTTTAGAGATTAATATTTGAGCATTTCTTGTTGTTATTGCTTACCATTAAGAATATCTCAGGGTAAAGCTTTCTTTAAGTAAATAACGAAGGTACCTACCTACTAATTTATTCACGAAAGCAAAATTTTATACAAGAATCGTTGATAACATTAGTTGAAATTGTATTTACATGAGACATCTCCAATGAACATTTTCACTGTTTGACCCAATTTCCCTGAGATACGGCTCGAATAAGGAATTCGCAAATTATGTTTGCTTGCAAAAAGGATGTTTTGTGTTACAACCACAGTTATGAGAAAAATAAATAATTTCTTTTAAACTAAACATATGGTACCTTCTTGAAATTACTACAGTGGAATTCGTTTATTATGACTCCGCCTATATTAACAAACCGCTTAATATGAAGTAATTGCAGTGTTATGTTTGGTTTTCATATTAAATTCTTTGTTGCAAAGTTTGTATATAATGAGTCCGTTTAAAGTGACATATCGTTTATTATGACTGATTTTCAAGAAATCATCATCATCCGGCTATAGTGACCCAAATGATTAGTAATAGCATTTTCACTCATTTCTCTGACCCTTTTTATGTATATTGATACTAGAATGAACCTTTTTCTTTTTTCTTTTTCTGTCAATAAATATATACAATTTGTAGTTTTTCTCTCTATTAAACTAAATAACTAACCAAAATAGAAAGTTGTTTATTTTCTAAGACTATGCTTTGTATGACGCCCGCTTAGTATGACGCGTTTGTCATTTCCATTCGATGTCATTATAAGCGGATTCTGCTGTAATTTATGATCATGCGTCGTGAATAATCAGACTTTTACGATATTCTTATTCAACGTCAAGATTTGAGGATTCCAAAGTAGGTATTATAAATACTTCGTTTAGTAAAGTTGCTTTAAATAAAAGTTGGTGAATGGTTTTTA